ATTTTATTACCAGGCATAAGCATATTATTTATATAATCTGAATCATATATTTTTTTATCGTCTGCTTTGTGCAATATCCAATTCCTATCATTCTATTAGCAAATATATAATTTAAACCAAAAAAAACCACAAGAAATAACAAAGAAGCTGTTTATGATAAGAAATAATAATAATTATTATTATTACCCATTTTTTCCTTTGTTTATAATTTTAATTTCAATGTAAAATATCCCACACTTTGAAGGTATTGGATGATTTGCTCGAACGATAGCAGCTTAATAGTCATCAGGATCTTTAATTAAAAAGTTTTTTTTAATAAATTAAAACGCTAAGATATTTTTTTAAATTATTACAGTAACACGTTAAATACGTTTCAGCGAGAATTCTCATCACTTTAAGCCCACTTTAGTCTATCTTAATAAACGGTGATTCATCTTTAATATCCCATGCAGTCGATAAAATAATATCATTGTAAAAAGTTATTAATTCTAAATCTCCCATTAGGTTAAAATTCAATTCAGTTCTTTTGTTTAACCGTCAATGAGCATATAAAAGTACTTTGAACATGAATACAAACATTTATTATTGTATACTTCTTATGTGAGTACCTAGCCATTTTCATGCATGTTATTGGGTCATTTCTAATACATGATACACAAACTTTGCTCACCACCTATCGGAGGTGAACGAAATTTATTTATCACGTTTAAAAATGATCCAACAAGATGCAGAAAATGGATAGGTGCTTACGTCGTAAGTATACAATAACAAGTAAGTATTTGTATTCTAAATCAAATAAGGTTAATTTTTTTTTGTACCGTATTTTCGTGAAATAACGGGCATGGGCGTTGTTTAGAAAATCGTGTCTCCTAAAAATAGCATACATGATTTCAAAATAACGCTCATACGCGTCCCAAAATGACGCGCACCCCACATTATGGTTTCAACAAATAATTTGTTATAACAGACAAGTTTGGGAAAATTTATCTTTGTATCAGAACACATGTGCGCGTACTCTAAATAACGCGCATATTCACAATATAACATGTAGATGATCATTATTTCGCGAAAATATTGTAAAATTTTTATGTTTACTGCTTTTTTAGTTTGTATTATACCGGCATTATTCTTCTAATCTAATTCTTAAACAGAAGAGCATAGTCTAAGTAACTATTACTTTAAACTTATATGTAATCAAACTTTTTATAATACGTATCTATTATTATAAAAACTTTTTAAAAATTTTAGTTTGTATATTATATGAACCTTTAACTATTAGGCTTGTATTAATTATAATTCTTTCTAATTACATAATATTTTTTATTTCTAAATAACAAGAAATTAAAAGCTTAACTACTAAGCTACTAAATTTAATCTTATAAATTAATAGGTTTATACCAACTAATATTTAAATTAATGCGTTTTTTTTTATTATAAAAACGTTTTAAAAAAAAAAAATTAAACAAAATTCTATTTTAATTGCTTTAAACCTTATATATTTTTTACTACACAATAATACAGGTTCAACAAAACCAACTTAATTTGCAGCTCTAAATTATTTTATATTTTAACATATATACTGTATTTTCTTCAATTTAAATGATACAGTATTTAAAAATTAAAAAATTTATATAACGTAACGATAAACACAACTCTAAATTATTTGGTGCTATTACAAAAAGGTCTAGCCGTATTACAAAAGTATAATTTTTATATATTTTTAAATAACGTATAGTCAAGTTACTTCAAATATATTTAATTTTACGAAACCGACCAATCGAATTTTACAACCCAAAAATAGAAAATCAACCAATCAGACAATTTCTATTACAGTAATGAAATTTAAGGAGTTAAAAGATCTTTAAATCCATCTTGAATAAATTTAAGAAAAGATGTTAAAACTTAGGCAAGATTTAAATACCGAATTTAGAAAAGGATTTAAATATTTTGAGAATTTATCCGATTTAATTACCTGGACTCCAGGTAACGATGATATTAATGTTTCTCGAGTGTCACTTAAAAAACGACCAGACTGGAAAAGAGCGAAGTCTGCTGATGAACAACATAAAAGAGATTTAAAAATTAATGTTATTGATGATAACTTTGAAGGTAAACAATAATTTGAAAAAAAATTTTATTTATAGTTTTAGTAATATTTTTTATATATTGATTACAGAATTCCACGATTACTTTAAATTTGGTCAATATTGTATTCAATATTGGCAATTCGTGGATTCATTTGTTTAGTGAGTTCATATAATTTAATTCTTTTAATAAATCTTTTTCTTGACTATTCATAATTAATCTTATATATATATTTATATACTTTAATAAAGTTTTTCTCATCATCGTATTGAAATTCCACCTACAATGTGGGTTAACGCGGCTCATAGAAATGGCACGAGAGTACTTGGAAATTTTCTCACGGAACGTGCAGCTGGTTCTAAAGATATGGAATTATTAATAAATGGACCAGGTGGTAAAATAATTGAGGATGGTTTTAATCCATTTTTTGCCGATAAACTTGGTGTGTTTAAAATTATTTATTTCTTTTACCGGTATTCTTTTTTATTTTTAATTAATGCTTTAATTCATTATTAAATGTAATATAGTTCAAATGGCTGTATATTATAATTTTGACGGATGGTTTATTAATGTTGAATCCGATTTGATTGGAGGAGAAAGGGCTGCACGAAAACTTATTCAATGGTTGAAATATCTAACTCAGGAAATGCATAAAAACGTACCTAATTCTTTGGTTATTTGGTAATGTTTTTATTAAATAATTCATTTATTTTTTTTTATTATCGGTATATATATTTTTAGAAACATGATTATTTACAAAATTCAAACTTTTATAAAATTAATAGGTATGATTCTTTAACAACCGCTGGAAAAATAAAATATCAAAATATATTAAATGATAAAAATATTCCCTTTTTCAATGTTTGTGATGGGTTGTTTACCAATTATTGGTATGATAAAAATGGACCAGCAATTTCTGCTATGACAGCTGGTTCAAGAAATCGTGATGTTTATACTGGTATTGATACTTATGGGCGTGGAACTTACGGAGGTGGAGGATTTAATACTTTTTTGGTGATTCAGTCTATAAATTCTTTCAATTTTAAGGATTTGATTTATTTACTACTTCATCCGTTATTGTTTATTATTCATTTAATTATTCTTTTTCTTATGGACATGAGCAGGCATTAGAAGCTATTAAACATGGGAGAACATCTGCAGGAATATTTGCTCCAGCTTGGACGTTCTTTGAAGTGCCAGGTGATAGGTTTGCTAATGATCGATTGTTCTGGGTTGGTAGTCCTCCTGGTGTTGTCCGTAAGTTTTATGATTATCCTTGATTAAAGACTATATAAAAGCAAAAGTGTTGAAGGCCATTTATTTAATTAGAAAGGCGCCCTGGTGTTGCTGATTATGTTTCTCCAAAATGTGTCCCTAAAAGCACAAGCTTTTACACAAATTTTTCTCTAGGAACTGGGCATCAATTTTTCATTGAAGGAAAAGTACGTAATTAATGCGTATTTGATTCTATTAATTACTATATGAATATTTAATCGCTTACATGTTTTTTTATTAGTCAATGATAGGACTTCAAGATTGGTTCCACTTAAGTCATCAATCTATTGGGCCAAACAATTTAACATTCCAACTCCCACGATCAAATTCTTTCTGGTGGGAATACACTTTCGATGCAGCTTATAACGGCGGTACTTCGCTATCTATAAATACCAGTGGTCTATTAATTTTACCATTTGCTAGGCTTCCTCTCTATAAACTTTATCTAGAAACACCTCTACATACACCATTAAAACTAAGTGTCACATATCTCCCAAAACAACCAGATATAAAATTTTCCCCGTATATAAGAATAGGATCGAATTCAATTAATAATTCTATTCAAAATTTTACTATGTCTGAAGGAGCATATTTTCCAGATTCTACAAATATCGTTCAAATTGAATTGACTTCTGATTCTGGTGTTGTTATATCTAAATCATTTGCCCCTACAAACACAATTTTGAGGAATAATGGATGGATCACATCAGAATTCACTTTGACTTCTTCAATTTTTAAATGTGGTTCTTCAAGTACCTTAGGTGGGGATGTTAATGTTAGAAACGATTTAGTAATCCAGGAATTTGGAATTTCTATATACAATTTAAAAAATTCTACTTCTCATAACATTACTAGACAATTATTGGGATACGTTGGCGAACTTTCTATTATACCTCAAAATTTAAAACCTGATATAAATATAGAAATGGTTCAAAACGTCAAGTTTGAAAGAAAGATTGTTAATACACCTGATTCAGATGACCTAAGTGACGAAGTTACTTTTGTGTGGGGAATAGTCGGGTGGAACGATACAGTCATTCCTTCTGAAAAGGATTCCTCAACAAATTCTGATATTAACCTTAATGCAGGTACTTCTACCGAAGGAGAAAAACAACGAGTAGCACCAGTTGTTACAAATTTAGAAAATATATTTGCATATTATAATATTTATGTTGGGGTGTCACCATCATCATCTAATTTAAGTTCGTCTCCTGATTTAAGCGAGGTAACATTTTTGGGAATTTCCGATAACACTCAATTCTCAATTTGTGGTTATGGTGTCATGAAAAGTGAGATCGAAAGTGGAAATGGATTGACAATATGGGTTCAAGGGGTATATGAAATTGATGGGAGTGGCGTTGATAAAACAAAGTGGGGAATGACTTGGGTTGATTTGAAGAATTGAGGATATTTGTATATAGTATTATGTAACTGGGTTAAACCAATATAAATAAGATTCATAAATTTTGTCGATAATATTAAATAAAAGTTTGTCAACATATTATAACATTCTATATTATATATATTTTTTTATTGAATCAATTGTCATACATCATAACGAAAAGAAAGTAGTTTTTTTTTCATAATAATTTACGTTTTAATTGATAACAAAACATCTGAAAGAAACCATTTTTGAATGGCTATAGAGGGTTTGGTTCTTCGATTTTTCTAAACTTACCTTGTAACCAAATTCGATACATTTGAAGTCTACGATGTCTATTAACTATTAATCTACGGTCTATAGCATTCTGTTCAAGTGTAAATTTTGTACCCCATATTGTTTGGATTTCATCTAATAATGATACAACATAATATTTTAAGAAATGAATGACCTTTTTTTTTTTTTTCAACTACGGTGCGCGCAGTCTAAGATATAAATATGACTTGATTGAACTTTTCATTGATATGATCAATTTTTAAAATGCATTATTATAAAATAAAAAGAGATAAAATACATATTTTGATAGTTCTAGTCAGACTATTAAACTATGTATTCTTTTCTACAGTGTATTTAAAATATAGATGCACGCACCCTATTTTAGGTTTAATTAATGATATTTATAAAACTTACCTGAAGTGAAGAAATATACACGCGTACCGTCACCTCGAACATAAAAGTTATCGGATAACATGCGGCCTTCCTTAAACCTTAGTTGTACCATATCATACCTACCATAATCTATATAAAAACGAGCTCACATTAATGTGTGCTAAATAACGCTATATTGTTAATCTTTGCCGACAAAATGTACCTTACGGAATATACTCTGTAAGTTCATCTTGCTGACAAAAAAAATTCTTATATACAAACCTCTAAAAAGAACTAATCCACCAGGTTTAAGCATCTATATAAAATTATTTCGTTAATAATTAAACAAGCAACTGATTATAAATAGAATGAATATACAGTACAAAACCTTATAAACATTTTCTACAGCCTGGCTCCAACATTGAGGATGAATAGCTGACATAACAAATATTAATACCACAATATCAAGTGAACCAGGTTCAATGTTTTCTGGTATATTAGTACTGGTTAAATCCCAAACAAACACGCTACTGTGTTGAGGATTGTATGCGGGATTATTCTATTAATAATAGTTAAAAAATTGTTTGTATGAAAGTGATTAAGAAAAAGCTCTATGCTATTGCAAATGTGATCGTTTTAAGATTACCTTTACAACTTCAACGGCATTTAAAGCAAAGTCACAAGCATAAATAAATAATTCAGGGTTTTGATTTACAGATAATAATGGAAACATGGTATTTCCAGCCCCACATCCTATCTCAAATATCTTTTTTGAACCAACCTTAAAGAAATAGTTTACAACTAATAAATTTAATATATATGTATATATATGCTTATAGATCAGAAAAAGTAGACAGAAATACAAACATCTGATTCCGTAGTATTGTGAAGTTCAGGGAATTCTATTTTTAACCACTGACGGTCCTTAAAAAATTTATTTTCATTATGAAGATAAAATGTATTCCAATATTTCGATGCATCTTGGTGATATTTTTCTGTAAATCGTAAATAAATAAATAAATTTATCGTACACATTGTACAGTCAAACCTCTCTTAAATGCACTTATAGAGATCAACCTTTGACAAATGTATTTAGAGAATGATAAGAAAAAAGTACATTTATAGAAATATATATTTAGGCCAGAATTTGAGTGTGCATTTAGAAAAGTTTCACCGTATATATACGGTATATCTTTATATAAATGATTGCGCATACTACATACGTTGTTCTTCAAGAGGCATTAGTTTATTAGATTGTTTAAGAACTTTTTCTTTTGCGTATCTTTCCTGTTCTTCATCCCATTCTACATTGTCCCTAATGAACAAAAGACAAAAGAGATATCCTTATTGCGTTAAAAGAATTATGCACCGTTAACACTATAACTGATAATAGCAAATTAAATACCAACCATGCGTTATGATTCCAAACGTGCTCCTTATTTTCTAGAATTCGAGTTCCAAAGGTTGGTGTATCTTCACGAATATCACGAACGCTAGACCAGTCTTTTTTAAGTTTCGAGCGATCGGTATCTTGATCTGACTGCAGGGACATTTGCTGATCATTAAAAATATTACATCGATATATTTATAGTTTTTTAATTATGCCTGTACTGTTACGTTACGATTAGTGTTAACTAAATTAAGTATGCAAGTTACACATGACATCCTGTAGTACTATTTTCGATTATAAAAAGAAGTTGACGTTCAATTCTTAATTCAGGATCACTTAGAAGTAAAATAATAAAATAAAATGTCGCAGCCACAAGAAGAGAAAAAATCAGAAAATGGCCCAACTACTCAATCGTAAGTATATTTTTTTAATACAAGTAACTCTGGTTATAATGACATTGTCCTAGAAATTAATAAAAAAATGCCGTTACAGTGAGTTATACCGACATTTTATGTTAGGATTTTGAAATAAAAATGGCAGTATAGAAAGATTTTACTATGATGTAGTTACTCCAGGTGTCGTTATAACCAAAGTGATGTTTATGAAGTAGTGATCCGATATATATATACACATTTTGTTACGAGTTTAGGCAGCTACCACCACCTGTTCCGCCATTATATGATAGACCAAAGTCTACTGTTCTTGCAACGACTTTGACACCGGAACAAGTCGTAATATATGAAGAATTTCCAGAAATATTGTCAAAGAGGTAATTAAACACTTTATCATCAATTTAGTTTAATCAAGTTAAATTGTGACTAACTATAATGATAATACTATAATGATAATTAAATAACGGAATTTAATAGCAAAGAAGATTTAGAAGATCTTCTTAGCAATGATGTATTTTTTGATACTTTTTTTGAAAGCATTGAACGAATTCGTAATGCAATAGCTTTTCGAGATGAAATGCGAATGGAAAATGAAATGTCAGCAAGTAAGATTTTGAAATATTTACTCTATACTAATTTTTAATTTTTTTAACCGTGTCTCACATCACTTTTTTGCCAAAATTAAAGAAGAAACTTTGGCACAAGAAAATGAACTAAATCAACTACGGCAACGTGTTCAGGAACAAGAAAATACACTCCTCGAACTAAATTCAACTATTCAAGAAAAACTCAAACTTCAACAAAATGCATTACAGGTTTTTCATTATTCAGTGTTAACTTGCTTTTATTTAATTAATATAAATCATTTAATTTATATTATTTTGATTTGATAAATAGCGCTTTTCACCTTCAGTTTTGTTAACGAAACTTAAATCCGGTGTTCAACAGTCTGATGAACTGTCAGAACAAATGGCAAACTCATTTTTAAGTGGTGAATTGGAAACGGATCAGTTTATAAAACATTTTAGAGAAATAAGAAAAGTTTTTCATTTAAGAAATGCAAAGGTAGAAATTGTTAAAAATAAACCTGGAATTTTGGATGAGGGTTTTTAGATTATCCCTTAAACCGTCAGGTTTAGCGGATAAATTTGTATGCCAAAAATTTACAATAGTTTTTTGATGATTTAATTTAAATATTTAAAAAAATTTTATATATTAATATTTGAAAATAAGAATTACAGTAATATTTATTTTTAAATTATAAAAAAAAAAATAAAGTCGTTTATATACTGAAAATATTAAAGATTTAAAAAATTTTATCTTTACTCTTTTACAAATTTTTTATAAATAAAGCTTTGACTTTAATTAGAAACAAAAAAAACTTTTTTGAAAATGCAAAATACCGTAGTTTCACATAATAACATCCTTGCGCGTCCCAAAATAACGCGCATGTTTAGATTACAGCTGCTCTCATAAATTTTGGGACATCTGGTAAAAAATTGACCGAATGATTTTATGCCGATTCGATAAGTTTAATAAGTTTATGATTTCGGCAATATGCGATTACGTAATAATGTGCATATCTTCGACTTTGTGATTTAATAATTATTTATACAAATAATGAAATAAATTATATATTGTACATATCACTATTTTTATCCTTGCTAAATGACATTCTCAAAGCATATTCGTTGGACAATCGTTGAAAAATATTTGGAAGGCCTAACAGTTCGGGTAATTGCCAAACATCTAGGCATTAGCAGGTCTTCCGTAAGTCGAATCCTCAAACATTTTCGAAAATACGGATGTATCAAAAAGCTTCCAGCACTTTTAGGAAGACCACGTTTATTAAATTTGGAAGATATAGAGTATTTTAAAGCTTTATTGAATGAAAAACCTGATTGGTATCTGTATGAATTACAATCAGAGATGGAGCGTTGGTTAGGACATAAAGTTAGTTTATCAACAATTTGGAGAGTTCTACATCGGCTAGGATATACAAATAAACGGGTATATATTTTATATGTATATGCTGTAAATTATAAATTATATTAAAATTCAATCACACAGATTTCAAGACTCGCAAAAGAAAGGAATAAAGAAGATAGAGATAATTTTATTTTGCGAATGTCTCGATATACACCAAACCAGTTAGTTTTTTCAGATGAATCAGCTTATGACAGAAGAACATTGTCACGTCGGTATGGTTGGAGTTTTTCTGGGTTGCGTGCTCGAAAGTATACATTTTTTGTTCGGGGAAAACGATTTACCATCGAAGGTGCATTGTGTATTGATGGTCTTCTGGCGTACAGTATTCAAGAAGGTTCAATGAATACTGATGATTATGAAAATTTTATTGAGCATGTATTAGTAAGTAAATTTTATTTAATATCAATACAGACATTGATATAATAAAAATTTTTTTTTAATAGTTACCAAAGATGAATGCATTTCCTGAACGATATAGCGTATTAATCTTGGATAATGCAATTATACATAAAAGTCAGTATTTGCAAGACATCTGTAACGAAAAGGGTGTTATACTAGAATTTTTACCTGCTTACTCTCCGGATTTCAATCCAGTAAGCAATTTACAGTGTGTATAATATTTAAAGTAATTTTAATGTTAATTAATAATTTAAGAATTTTTTATTTTATATACACAGATCGAGCAGACTTTTTTTTATATAAAAAACTATCTAAAACAAAATAAAATTTGGGCAGAATCGATGCAAGATCCTTTGGACGTTTTAGATTTTAGTTGTATGACAATTGGGAAAAAATTAGCTTATGCATGTTATCAACATGCTGGATATATACAATAGATAATTTTAAAATTAGATCGATCATTTCTAAATTAATTACAAACAAGATTATGACTAGTATTCTATAAAAAAAAAGTGTGAAAATTAAATATTATATGCACATTTTAAAATATTATTTATTAATTTTTGCATGCTTGTACATATATTATACTATCGCTATAATACGTACGGTATTTATTGTTATTAATAATGTATAAATTAATGATATCAATTAATCGAATAAATCATCAAATTTTACTTCAATATCCTCAAGATCTATCCAAATATGACTATGTGCTTCTTTAAATATGTGACTTATAACTTGTTCAGGCAAAAAAAGTTGCCCATCCATTTCTAATGACGATTTAATTATAAATCGTTTACCACTTGGAGAGCCATTAGGAAAAACGTAATTAAGCAAATTCTGAAAAGTCATATTTTTACTAATATGAATATTAGATTTTAGTGGTGATCTTTTTTTAGTATGAACAGTTAAAGAGCATAATGTTGGTGTAGGAACCGTTAATATAGAAGTAGAAGTGGTTGTAACAGAAGAATCAATTAAAGGATCTATATTATAAATATAAAATTATATATGTACATACGTACATATGTACGTATTAAAAAATTTTAAATAAATTATATATACATTAAAACAATACTGCAATAATATACCTTCATTTGAAAATCGTTTAGAAATTGGGTATCGATATTTATTTTTGTCAAACGATGGAATATTTGGAGGTATTTTTTCATCAACACCTTGCATTTTAGTTATCTTTATATACGTACATATAAAAAAAAATTTAATATATATATATGCTGTATTTATAAATAAATATTCAATATATAAATTATAAAAAAAGCTCACAATTGCGCGAGCCCACAATGTTATTAAATCACCATCCAATTTTAAATGTCGTCCATCGTCAGAAATCAAACAACCTTGAATATGTATTTCACACGATGGAAGATTTTCATAAATCTTTTTTTTGATATTATTCAATGTATTAATTGCGTCAGATTCCGTTTCAAGTGTCTAATAATAAATTATATAACAATTAATATAAATAAAATTTAAATATTAAACTATTTTGATACTTACACGAACTCTTTTGCTAGCTCTAATGGATTCATCTTTTTCTTGATAAATGCACAATTGGAGATTTTTTTTATATTTGACTTCAGAAATAAATGCAGTAATAGCCCCATCTGATTTCAAATCGTAATGATCTGCTTTGGTTGTATTTGAAATTTGATAACAAATCTGACCTAATTTAATCTTTCCCCAATGCTCAGGAAGTGAGCGTGATAAAATTTCTTCTTCAATGTTCCCAAAGCTTTTTATATTTTCGAGATCATATGGAATTGCTAATGCCCCATCAAGTTTTTTATGGGGTTTTTCAAATCGATCATAACATACTAGCGTAACAAATGCTAAAATAAAATAAAATTAAAATTGAAAAATATATAATATTAAATATATAAATATATAACGTATCTTACTTTTAGCTGGTTCTTTTGGTGTAATAATTTT